GGGGGGGGGGGGGGGGGGGGGGGGGGGGGGGGGGGGGGGGGGGGGGGGGGGGGGGGGGGGGGGGGGGGGGGGGGGGGGGGGGGGGGGGGGGGGAGGGGGGGCACGAGGAATCATGCTTAACATAAATGGAGGGGGGCAACTGACCAAAGGTGTGCTTTACCACAACAAACGGAGGATGGGGGACGGAAGGGGAATTTGAGCAATAACCTCCCCGCAATACCCCTATAGCCACGTCCCTCCCTTGTTTCTACAACCACAACTTCCAATACACAGGCCGTGCGAATGCTGAGCACAATTTCTCCCGCATCAGCACGCCATTCATTCCCGGGGGTGTCCTGCAATATTTCTGAACCTCCGATCCAGAGCTGCACAGCTAGAAGAATGGAATCCCGAAACAAAAAAATCAGAATATTGACAAGGTTTGGTCGTAATCATCATCCCCTTTGGGATGTGACCGTGTGAGCTTTATGTTACCTAGTGTTTCATCACGACCAAGACAACCATACGGTGGGGAACCCTCAGTAGTACCGGTTGGATATTGCCAAGGCCAGTGTTTTTCGGCGGGAACAGACGGGATAACCAAGTCATCCTGAACTCTTAAATACAGTGCCGGTGGCTCTGAATATTGCCGGTATGCTGGTTTGGTCGACACTGAGGGCCTCACACTGTGCCGCACAGGAGCGAACGTACCTCTTCGAGAATGGCCGCTGCGGTCTCGGAAGCCGAGGGCGACGATGACCGCAAAATCTTGCGGGCTCGCGCGTACAGCCCCTGCCAGAAAGCAAACACCACGCGAGCAAGCAGGAGAGAGGTGAACACGATGTGGCATGCGTCACACAAAGACAGAAGAAGCCTCGATACTTGATGGGTGACCTTGCGGTTCGCTGGGGCTGAAAAAGGAGTCGATGCTAACAGACAAGTGTGAGCGCGTGTGTGTCATTTTTATAAGCATCGACTGCGCTAACCGGCTGACCAACGAAAAGACGCCAGTCTCAGGGTGGCTGAAAACACAAAATGCTTCCATAGGCCACGCTCTGGGATCCTGTGAACGAGCGTCATGGGGGAGTCCGCGCTACTCTCCAGATAAAAGACAGATACCGTTGCAACAACAGCGGAAAACTGCAAGTGTTTGTGTGAGTTTGGGAATCTCGAACGGGCAATAACCATACACAACGTTTTCGCACCTACAAAATCGCAACGGGCGGCGATGTTCAAGTCTGGGCTCAGAACCTGACAGATACCCGGGGGCCCCGCCGGGTAAGACATGGGGTGGGGGTCTGTGCGGTCCGGGAGAAGGACGCCGACAACGAGAGGCACACCAGAGAGATACAAGTGGTGGCTTGCGAAAGAGCTGCACTGTCCACCAACACAACCAAAAACCAGCCTCCTTTTGCGAGCGTCTCTTCCTGTTGTTTTACTCTCGACTCAACTGATACTCGTTTCCGGTCCATCTCGTTTCCGCCTCTGCCTCTATCCACCTTGTTTGCATGTCAACGCTTGCCTCCTTCCATCACTCTGCCTCCGTGCCTGACCACGCCTCCTTGCCCCCCCTTCGTTCTGCCCTCCATTGCTCTTTCCCATCCAATAAAAAAACGCTCTTCGCCCCATCCTGATCTCTCTCTCGCCTCTTGTATTTCTCGTCCTCAACACCTTATGAAAAAGCAGAACACGCCCCGCTCCCTCCGCCATTCTTTCTGGCCCCGCACCGCTTCCATTTCCTCGCTCACCTTAACCTTAATCTTTCTGGCTCGCGAACTGCCCATTTCTGCCGGTCGAAGAACCCCTAGGCGTTTCGTACCTCCGACGGCCACGACGCTTTTGACTCCGTTTACCGTCCGCGGCGCCACCACCGATTTCACAGTACCCGAGTCGGCCCTAACTCCAGGAGCAGCGCCGTTCGTGCTTGCAGAGCCGTAAGCACCGGTAGCGGCGCCGCTAGTACCAGAAGCGCCGCTAGCGCTTGCACCGTTGGTAGGGGTAAGCAAGGTCACCGGGGTAGAAGGTGGTGGTGTTGTCGCTTTCATCGTCGTTGCTGCGGTTG